GGGGAGGGCGGTGGGAGAGCTGGGAGCCGTGGGCCAGGCGGGGAGGATGGTGGGGGCCCCAGCGCCCCTTCGTGCCTGGCACACTGAGTGGGAAAGAGTCAGGCTGGGGAGAGACCCACTGTCTGCCCGAGGCGGAGGCCGCAGCGCACGTTCTGGGGTCAGCTCGGGAATCTCATGGTCGTGGATCAGTGAATCTCGCAGTAGGTGATCAGGGAAATGGCAGGTTTGACGTAGAGGAGGCTTGGTTTCCACTAGTATTCCACACGATCCAATTCTGTTTCCTTCCTACAACACGAGGTGAGGCAGAGCTGGCCGGTGCCTGAGGCGCTTGGCAGGCTGGGGCCGGGCGGCGCCTCCAGCCCAGCCTGCTGCGAGGAGTGTGAGAGACTCTCAGTGGATGGCGGGTGGGCGCGCGTCTGTTCCCACCTCGGGAGGAAGCCCCGTGCCGGGCCAGCGCCGTGTGCCCGTCATCCGCAGTGCACAAGTAGCAGGGTCACAGTCCGGGCCAGCCCGGGCGCCGAGTGAGACCCCACCTCCAAAATAACTAAAAAGGAGCTGGAGGTGCCACTCAAGTGGGAGAGCACCCGTGTAGCAAGCAGAAGTCAAACGCCAGCCTCACATACACGCATGCACGCACTCACACAGGCACACACAGCAAAGCGAGCAGGTGCTGACTTGGAGAGCAGTTCTTTGCGGGGCTGCCTTCTCCAGGGCATCTCTCCTGGACCACAGCAAGATTATCTCTCAGGTTCTGCAAGGGCAGACGCACCGCCTGCGGGCAGAGCGCCCTCGGGCCTCAGAGAGGACCAGAGCCGAGCACTGAGGACTGTTGGAAGGACGTGGAGCGTGGTCCCGGGACCCCACAGCTGGGGCTGAGACAGTCCTTACAGGTTCATGCTGGTTCCCTTGTGAAGGAATCTTTTCATTGTTTACAAGAGCGACTTTGTCTCCCAGAGCTCGCACGGAGCTCCGGGTGCCAGTCTGCAGAATTCCAGGCTCCCTCCGTGCCTGTCTGTAAATGAAGGGGTTTTATCTCCACCTCGTGGCTAAAACGGAAAGTGCTTTTTTGTATATATTTTTATTGTAGAAGTGTGTACAGAGGGGTCACGGTTACATGAGTAAGGTAATGGGCGTTGCTACAGGAAACGTCAAGCATGTCTGCTCACCTGTTATTCTGACGAACCACTCTCGTTTGTATTTCCTAACCAAGGCAATGCGTTGATAGAAGTTGGTGAATCGTTGAAGCTGATGGCAGAGGTGAAAGACTCTCTGGACGTCAATGTGAAGCAAACATTCATTGATCCGCTTCAATTACTACAAGACAAAGACTTAAGAGAGATTGGGGTGAGTGATCTAGATTAGATGTAGCTTGTGGCTGCTTAACACCACGTGTAAAGTCGTCTGCAGTAGTGAGGAAGCCGTCAGAGGCGCTGTCCTGCTCTGGTGGGGGACAGCGGGGACAACACAGGCTGGCCCTGTCTGGGGGGGGGGGGGGGGGGGGGGGGGGGGGGGGGGGGGGGGGGGGGGGGGGGGGGGGGGGGGGGGGGACAGAGGGCAATGGCCGTGGCGCCAGCCCCATCCTGGGGGCTTGTGGGGTTATGATACGCTGGACATGTCCTCCTAGGGGGCAGGTCCCAGGTGAACTCCTGGGAATCCCCTGTCCACGTGGCTGGGTCAGTGAAGGCCTTGGGAGAGAAGTGGACAGGGCAGAGAGAACCCAGAGAAGCTGGCCAAAGGTCCAGGGCGGCGTGTGCAGTGTCGGCCTGGGGTGGGGTCTCCGTGGGGAAGGAAGCCCTGCAGCAAAGGCTGGAGGGGGTCCAGGGAGGTGGGAGGGACGGTGAACGCGGCCACCGGCTTCCCTCGGGCTGGGTGCCGGCCTCCAGTCCCCGGCCTGTGCATCCTCTCCCTCCACCCCAAAGAAAGCGCTCGCCAGCCGGTCTCAGCCCCCCCCCATCTCTGTTCTCACTGCCCTGGGGCCAGTGGTGCTCCTCCCCTGTCTCCTCCAGTGTCCTGAGTGTGAGCACCAGGCTGGCTGGTCCAGCAGCTCCTGCGTGGAGGGGGGCTGGGGGAGAACATGGCGGGGTGGAGGTGGGAGGGAGGCTGGGGGGGATCATGGCTGGGTGGAGGGGAGGGGGGCTGGGGGGAGGCTGGGGGGGAGACACGGCAGGGGGAAGGGAGCTGGCTGGGGCTGTAGATCCTCGGTGGGGAGCGTGCAGAAGTCGCCAGGCCTCTTGTTCTTGGAGATCACAGTTTCCTAGGCAACAGAGACGTTTTCTGAGTGGTCTTGGGAGGCTGCTGCTCTTCCATCTTGTGACGGGCCTGGGCTTAGATCTCCCGGTGGGTGGTGAGCCCGTGGGCTGAGGTGGCTTTTGTGGGCTCCACTGGGCACGTGGGCCTCAGGACCTGTCTGTCAGGAGGATCCGCAGGCTGCTCCTTTAACAGCACCCTGGGGAGCGGGGAGTGGGGAGCGGCTCAGCCACAGGGCACCAACAGCCTCCTGCTGGGGTGGGGGGCCCCATGGGGCAGGGGCTTAGCCACGTTGCTGCCCAGCACCACACGGTGCCACACGGGCAGCCCTGCTGGGTCCGTGCTGTCCCCCCTCGGGACCCGCTGTCCCCCATTCGGGACCCGCTGCCCCCCCCCCCCCCGCCGCCCCCCCCCCCCCGCCGTCCCCCCCTCGGGACCCGCCGTCCCCCCCTCGGGACCCGCCTTCCCCCCCTCGGGACCCACAGGTGGTGGGGGCCGCGCGGCCGCCCCCCGCAGCCGTGACAGCTCTGCTGTGGTCCCTCAGAGCCTTGTGTGCGGCTTTCTGACCTAGCCGGGCACCTAGGGATGGCCCACCGAGGTCCAGGGGAAGATGGAGACGTGTGGGGGGTGCGGGGTTCCCACACTGAGGAGGAGCAAGGGCGGTTAAACGGGGAGGCTTCAGAACTGCTTTACAGCCCTGAGCCGTTGCGTTCTGGAGGGGGGGGGGCTTCCCGCCCGCGGGTGGATCGGGGTGGGGGGGTGGGGAAGGGCCTCGGGCTCAGTAAACAGCCCAGCCGCTCTGGCAGCCTTGCTCCTCCAGAATCTTGAACAGTTCACGTGTGGCTGGATCACGCTGGATGTGTTGGGAGCCCAGAACCTCCGTGCTGGGGGCGGTTCCGGCTGTTAAGTGTGAAGGGCCTGAAGGGCCTGCAGAGCCTGTTTGCGGAGGGCCGCTCAGAGCCAGACGGAGAGGAGGTGGAGGTGGCCAGGCTGGAGGGCAGCCGGAGCCAAGCCGGGCGGGCAGTGGGGTTGTGAGGCCCGGCTGCAGGCGACCCTGCCCTCTGTCTTTCAGCACCACTTGAAGAAGCTGGAAGGCCGCCGTCTGGACTACGACTATAAGAAGAAGCGAGTAGGTAAGATACCAGAGGAAGAAATCAGACAAGCGGTAGAAAAATTCGAAGAGTCGAAGGAGTTGGCTGAAAGAAGCATGTTTAATTTTTTAGAAAATGACGTAAGTATTTAAACCAGGAGACACTACTGTTCTCGAGTAAGTCACTGTCTAGGGGTTGTGATCAGCATGCCAAGGAGCTCGGAAAGCCTTAGTTTCCAGAACGTTCTGTAGCCGTGTCCCCACCCCCACCCGAGACAGCATGAGCATTGTTTCAGGGGAGATGTGAGTGGCCAGCCAGGTGCTTACCCCCAGCCTGGTCTCTCGGCGCTCTGGCCATGTCTGCCTTCCTTCATGGCGTGCTGGGGACAGCCGGGCTGACGAGCAGACGCTGGGGTCCTGTCTGCTTCCACAGGAGGCTGCCGAGCGCCGGTCCCCAAGGTGCCCCGGGCGGCCGAAACAGGGCAAGGATTAACTTGCTGCTCTTTTAATTGTGTGTGTGTGTGTGTGTGCGTGCACATGCGTGAATGCGTGCATGGGTGCGTGTGCACACACACATGCCCAGGGTCTTCCCCTTAGCTTTTCTGCTCACGCTGGTGCTCTCCAGTTGAGTCATAGCTCCACGTTTGGCATTTTAGAGTCTCAGAGACCTTCTGCAGCGGGCTTTTGAACCATGATCCTCAGATCTCAACTTCTTGAGCTGGGATTGCCAGCATGAACCCCAGTGCCAGCTAGGAAAGATTTATTTTGGCTCACAGTTCCAGAAGTTTCGGCCTGTGGTTGGCTGGCAGTGGTGTTTCTGGGTCAGGGAGTAGTGGAATATTACAGTGGAAGGGCGTGGTAGAACAGAGACAGACAGACAGACAGAGACGAGAGACAGAGAGACAGAGACACAGAGAGAGGCAGGCAGGCAGACAGGTGGACAGGCAGGCAGACAGCAGATAGATAGGCAGGCAGACAGATAGATAGACAGCAGATAAGCAAGCAGACAGACAGCAGATAGGCAGGCAGACAGACAGGCAGACAGACAGATAGACAGCAGATAAGCAAGCAGACAGACAGATAGCAGATAGGCAGGCAGACAGCTAGGCAGACAGACAGATAGACAGCAGATAAGCAAGCAGACAGACAGATAGACAGCAGATAGGCAGGCAGACAGACAGATAGACAGCAGATAGGCAGACAGACAGGCAGATAAACAGACAAACAGGGCTCTGGGACAGGACACAGACCACCATACTCTTAGTGATCTATGACCTCTAGCCAGACCCCACCTCGCAAGTTTCCAGAAACTTCCAAAGTAGCACTGACTGGAGACCCGGCCTTCAGCACGTGGTCTGTTGGGCATCTCACATCTGAGCCACAGTGCACCTGACCTGGCGCCCTGTGGAGCCGGTGCACAGTGTCAGAGCGGTGAGCTGCCGGCCTTCCCTCTCAACGCAAGCAGGAGGCGGCTTTTCCGTCCAGGGGGTGGGATTTGGGGAGCTCAGTCACCATGTGCACCCCGTACTCGGCACTGAGTCGGCCGGCACCAGGGCTCTGTCTGAGCTGAACACCTGCACACAGGGCTCCCCGGCTCACAGCACACACTGTAGCCTCTTCAGAATGACCGCCGGCCGCTCCCAGACCCTTCCTCCAACCCTGACACTTACACTCCAGGAAATGCCGGTCTCGCTGTCTCTCACCGCTCCTGGAAAGTGATCAGATGCCAGGTGTACTCCAGAGTGGAGCACGGAGACAGCACGGCGCGGATTTTAGCAGCACAGCTGCAGTCGTGAGGAGAAGGGTTCTTTCTGTTGGAAATTCCGCGCCAATCCCGTGAGGCTGGGGCTGGGCTTGCGCGGAGGAATGTGGCAAAGCCGAAGGGCGGAGTTTAGGGAATCTTTAGGATGCTGTGGGGGCCGGGCTGTCTTCTTTCTGTTCGTTGGGGGTTTGAAAATTGCAGGCTGCGCTGTTGCCTTTCCGGTGAGGCGGGATGAACTCAGCGCCGGCTTTCCCGCTCACACGCCCGGCACATCTTGGCCCCAGTAGAATCCCACGAGGGTTCTATGTGCATGGGCCTGTTAAAATGACACATGGCAGGGGAATTAAAGAACAGGCCACTGAAAACCAGCTGGCCAGAGACACCTGAAAGCAGAGGTCTGGGGTGGCGATGGAGGAACCAGCAGGTGGATTTTACCCTAAGAATCGATTCACAGGCTTCCTAGGAAGTCTGGGCAGAGTGATTTGGTGTCTTTGTGCAGATCCAGAGTTGCCGGGAGCCCTTTCACCTCAGATCTCCTGGAAGCTTCCAGAAACAAGCCTTGGTTAATCCTCACTTCCTGTAGCAGACACTCGGCCACAGGGGGCAGGGAAGCTCTTGGCCCAAGTTTGCTCTTCCTCAGACTGTGTCTCCACGTCTTCCAGACTTTTCCAACGTGGTGTAGACATTTGTTTTTGTTGTTTCACGAATGTGCTGATTTGTGGGAAAGCAGTGTGAGCCTTCGTGGTTCGCTGCTTTCTTTTCTAGGCCTCTGGAAGGTGGTGTGTGGGTGTCTCCTGCTCAGAGCTGCATGGCTTCTGTGTCCATCACAGATCAGGGCAGCCTCATTAGCGGCTTGGCTTGGCCTGGCCAGGGAGCGCCGTAGAGCTGTTCCTCATGGGCTCCGTGACATTCACGATCACAAGTTGAGCCAAATGTGTTTTCCTGGCGGCTGCAGCGCTGTGCAGGCTCGGAGCGGGCCTGGGGTGAGGAGGGCCAGGCAGTGGCGTTGGGGGCGGCTGCCGGCCGCATGCAGTGACCCCACGCTTGTACTGCAGGTCGAACAGGCCAGCCAGTTGGCTGTGTTCATCGAGGCGGCATTAGACTATCATCGACAGTCCACGGAGATCCTGCAGGAGCTGCACAGCAGGCTGCAGCTACGGTGAGGGCCTTTGCCTTGCCTGAAGCCGGGCTCCGGAGTCCCAGCCCGTCCAAAGCAGTCCTTCTGTCTGTCTGTCTGTGTCTGTCCGTCCCCCCCCCGCCTCCCCTCTCCTCTGTGCTGTTGTGTGTGGGGTACCTTGGGCAGGTACGGCATGGGACTCGGATAGTAAACGTGCCGCTGTGGCCAACAGGAAGACTGGAAAGGAGTGGCAGCGCTTGTCCCCATGGCTTTCGATTAAGCCTCCTTTATTTGCACTCTGTGTTTTTGGGCAACCAGACCCAGCAGCGTTGCCCACGCTTGGAGGCCAGCCCGCCCGCACTGTGGCTCGCCGGGGCCTGAGCTCCTCGACCAGCCAGGGTGTGGAGAGCAAACACACGAACATCGGGCACAGGTCTGTGAACGGCCACCAGAACAGGACGAGGTTGATGCTGGGCGGTATCGAACACGTCAGCGATGCCTCCGGGTGGGCGGTGGGCTCAGCGAGGCTGCTCCCCAGGATGACCGCCCTAGGAGGAGCTGGGGTGTTCTGGCTCAGTCAGCGCTGCCGTCACGGAGAGCTGACAGCCGCACGTACTGGGTTCCCAGGTTCTCAGGCAGGGGAGGAGGAGAGGAGGCTGGCACACCCCTGCACGCGTCCAGCTCCTTGGGGACCTGTGGGGACAACAGGGTGCAAGGTGACTTCCCCAGGGAGCTGAGGTGCACGGCGGGAGGGCGGCGTCGGGAGCGCCGCGGCTCAGCGTCCTCCCGCGAGGCTCCCCTCGGCGGCACACCCGCGGCCCGGTGCTGTGCCGCTCTGGGCTGGACGTGGCCTCTGCTGTGTGTTGCAGAATCTCGGTGGCTTCCAGCATCCCCCGGCGGGAATATAAGCCCAGGCCTGTGAAGAGGAGCGTCAGCGAGGTCAATGGGGTTTTCAGCGTCCGTGCGCCCAAGGCCGCAGGTAAGCCGGCCCCACGCGGCCGCCCACGGTGCTTGCTGCCTGGCGTGGCTGAGTCCCCCTCCCGGGCACCCTGAAAAGCAGGAAGATTCCACACCCTGCCACGTGGCCACCAGACCACGCGCTGGTCCTTTGTCGTTAAGAGCATAACATGCTCGGAATGTTCCACTGCTTTTCAGAAGGTTGAAGTAGCAGTTGCTGGTACCTACAGTATGAGGCACTTTCCTCAGTGCTCTTAATTTAATGACAAATGACGCGTAAATATATCCATGAGTAAAATCACCAACGCAAGAGAAACCTCCACACCGTACAGTCACCTCAGCGTGAGGAAAACCTCCACTTCGAGTCTGGGTCCGGGCGCCAGGGCAGCCCCCCTGTGCGGCCACGGTGCAGAGTCGGCGTGAGCAGAGTCGGTCGGTGTGTGTGCATCACAGCTGCACCACGCAGCACGGGGCTGCGTCCTCTGCGGCCTCGGTGCAGAGTCGGCGTGAGCAGAGTCGGTCGGTGTGCGTCTGTGCATCACAGCTGCACCACGCAGCACGGGGCTGCGCCCTCTGCGGCCACGGTGCAGAGTCGGCGTGAGCAGAGTCGGTCGGTGTGTGTCTGTGCATCACAGCTGCACCACGCAGCACGGGGCAGAGTCGGTTGGTGTGTGTCTGTGCATCACAGCTGCACCACACAGCACGGGACAGAGTCGGTCGGTGTGTGTCTGTGCACGCAGCACGGGGCAGAGTCGGTCGGTGTGTGTGCATGCAGCACGAGGCTGCGTCCTCTGCGTTGTAAGCCCATCCCAGGTGTATGGTTTTGCAGCTTTCTTTCTTTCTTTTTTTTTGGTTGGTCATGGGGCTTGAACTCTGGGGCTGGGCGCTGTCCCTCAGCTCTTCAGCTCAGGGGGAGCACTCTTCAACCACTTGAGCCATAGCGCCACTTCTGGTTTTCTAGTGGCTTATTGGAGATAAGAGTCTCAGGGACTTTCCTGCCTGGGCTGGCTTTGAACCGCGATCCTCAGATCTCAGCCTCCTGAGTAGCTAGGATGACAGGCGTGAGCCACCGGCACCTGGCAACAGCTTGCTTTCTTTCAGGACAGATTGGTCCTGCTTTTAACAACTTTCTGCTTTTGGTGACATTAACTGACAGCGTCTGGTCTGGCTACTTGTTACAGTAAATGTATTCACCAGTATCAATAAATACTAGGAAAAGCCCCAAATTTACTAATCGTGTACCAGTGACTTTATCATGAAGCTCTCTGTCTCTCCGTGTATCTGTCTCTGCCTGTGTCTTTGTTGTCTGTCTCTGCCTCTGTCTGGTATTGGTGTTTGAGCTCAGAGCCTTGGGCTTGCAGGGCAAGTACTCTAGCACATGAGCCATGCCCCCAATCACAGAGGACTCTCAAAATGCTGACATTGATTCAAAAGTCCTCCTCACACTGAATAAAAACACTTGCAAACTGAATTCAGCAACACATTAAAAAAATCATACACAAAGATCAAATGAGGTTCACTTCAGGGTTGCAAGTATGGCTCAAGATACTTAAAAAAAACATCCTGTAAATAGAAGTGAGGGGAAAAAAATCATACGAGGGAACAAGGAATAGAAAGATCACGTTTCAAGATAATGAAAGATCGATACCATAGGCCTGTGGAGAGAAATGGAAAGCATTTACCCTTAAGTCCAGGAACAAGAGAAGTGTCTCGTCTCTCCATGCTTAATACCATGCATGAAAGCCTAACCCGAGCAAGAAGAAGAACAGGAATATTAATGCCAAGCAACAACTCACAGCATCTCCATTTGCCTCTACTTAAAAAAGCCCTAAAGGCTGCGCCAGAGCGCGTTTAGATCTGGTGAGTGCGCTGCGTGGTGACCCAGGGCCAGAGCCACCCCCCCCCCCCGCCAGGCTGGTCATGTGCCGCAGGGGGCTGGAAGGGAGGGGAGGGAGGACAGGCCGGAAGCTGGTGGCCTGTCACCCACCGGCCTGCACAGAGGCCTGCCAGGTCCATTTCTGTCTCTCCAGCTGGGTGAGATGGTGCTCGGATAGCCGAGGGACCAGCTGCTTCTAGAAGGCTGGTGATAGATTCCAGAGAGCTACCCGGCCTCCGTTTCGCTCTTCCGCCCACTTGCTATAGCATGGCCTGGGCCAGGCCGCCCCCGTGGGGTTGGCCTGCCCCTGACCTGGCTGTCCAGGCTTGCTAGTCTCTCAGCGCATGCGTCCCGGTGTATCTGTGCACGTCAGCTCAGGAGATGGCAGCCACAGAGGGCAGCCACTGATCGACTTATGTGTGTGGGGTAGCGTGGTCGGGCGTGGGGCATGTGCTGCATCTGTGTCACATGTAGCGTGGTCAGGTGTGGAGGCACATGCTGCATCTGTGTCACGTGCTGCATCTGTGTCACGTGTAGCGTGGTCAGGTGTGGAGGCACGTGCTGCATCTATGTCACGTGCTGCATCTGTGTCACGTGTAGCGTGGTTGGGCGGGGGGCACGTGCTGCATTTGTGTCACGTGTAGCGTGGTCAGGCGTGGGCACGTGCTGCATCTGTGTCACGTGTAGCGTGGTCAGGTGTGGGGGCACGTGCTGCATCTGTGTCACGTGCTGCATCTGTGTCATGTGTAGCGTGGTCAGGCGTGGGGCATGTGCTGCATCTGTGTCATGTGTAGCGTGGTCAGGCGTGGGGCACGTGCTGCATCTGTGTCACGTGTAGCGTAGTCGGGCGTGGGCACGTGCTGCATCTGTGTCACGTGTAGCGTGGTCAGGCGTGGGCACGTGCTGCATCTGTGTCACGTGTAGCGTGGTCGGGCGTGGGCACGTGCTGCATCTGTGTCACGCGTAGCGTGGTCGGGCGTGGGGCACGTGCTGCATCTGTGTCACGTGTAGCGTGGTCGGGCGTGGGGCACGTGCTGCATCTGTGTCACGTGTAGCGTGGTCGGGCGTGGGGGCACGTGCTGCATCTGTGTCATGTGTAGCGTGGTCGGGCGTGGGGGCACGTGCTGCATCTGTGTCACGTGTAGCGTGGTCAGGTGTGGGGGCACGTGCTGCATCTGTGTCACGTGTAGCGTGGTCAGGTGTGGGGGCACGTGCTGCATCTGTGTCACGTGTAGCGTGGTCAGGTGTGGGCACGTGCTGCATCTGTGTCACGTGGTGCCATGTGGGTCTTGCAGTAGGCTGGTAGGGGCGGTGCTGGGAAGCTGCTGTAAACAGACTGGGATTCTGTAAGCTGGGTGCTGTGTGTTTTCTGTTTGCACACGTCCATTCACGTGTCGGTGAGGACGCCCGAGTGAGCAGGGATGGATGTGGCGTGGGAAGGGCAGCTTGTGAGGAAGAGCTGCGTTCCTCCTCGGAGACGGCGTGCCGTGCTCGCCTGTCCCCGCTGCCAGCCGGCCCCGCGCCCACCACGGCCACACAGGAGCCTCACCACGCACCCCGCGTTGCTGGGGACCCCAGCTGTACGTGTGGAGGGCCCCGGTGTGTGTGTGTGTGTGTGTGTGAGGCCCCAGTGTACACACGGGGCCCCCCTGTTCAGGGGACCCCAGTGTACACACGGGGACCACAGTGTTCAGGGGACCCCAGTGTACACACGGGGACTACAGTGTTCAGGGGACCCCAGTGTACACACGGGGACCCCACTGCGGGTGGGGACGCTCATGTGTGCCCACTGCGGGAGGGGGACTCTCATGTGCGCCCACTGCGGGTGGGGGGGGCGCTCATGTGTGTCCACTGCGGGTGGGGGGGGACGCTCATGTGCCCACTGCGGGTGGGGGACGCTCATGTGCCCACTGCGGGTGGGGGACGCTCATGTGTGCCCACTGCGGGTGGGGGGACGCTCATGTGTGCCCACTGCGGGTGGGGGGAGACGCTCATGTGTGCCCACTGCGGGTGGGGGGACGCTCATGTGCCCACTGCGGGTGGGGGGGGAACGCTCATGTGCGCCCACTGCGGGTGGGGGGGGACGCTCATGTGCGCCCACTGCGGGTGGGGGGGACGCTCATGTGTGTCCACTGCGGGTGGGGGGGACGCTCATGTGCGCCCACTGCGGGTGGGGGGGACGCTCATGTGTGCCCACTGCGGGTGGGGGGGACGCTCATGTGTGCCCACTGCGGGTGGGGGGACGCTCATGTGCGCCTACTGCTCACTCCGTTCTTACGGTGCCAAGGCCTCCTTAATCTCAAACGTTTGTTGTTTGGGTAAAATTATGGTTTGGTGGTTTTCCCTTTCTCCTCCTGGCTTGAAAAACTACAGTACTGTAGGCCGCTTGGAAGTTTCTGTTTAGCGGGAAGGTGACTGTAAACGACTTAGATGAACTCTTCCGGAATGAGTTCAGTCCCAGCCCTACCTAGCCTAGTCTGGACCCCAGGCCGAGCCCTGTCTGCCCCCCTCCCCGCCCGGCTCCAGCAGGCCCCAGACCAGAGCCCAACGAGAGATGCGCCGCAGAGGGACGCTGTCCGTCTCGGCATTTCTTCTCATGTCGTCAGAAGGAGCTCTGGAGGACATCACAGAATGTTCGGAAATACGGGGAGGTTCCCAGCGGGGTGTTCCTCCGGCGACCCTGCTGTGGGGGGGGGGGCGAGGAGGACAGTGCGTTCCCTGCTGTGCGAGTCTGACGCCCTGTCCCTTCCTTCTTGGCCACTGGCCCGGTCCCCAGTGGAGGAGTTGTCAGAAGGGAACCACAGATGCGCAGGAGATGGCATCTGGCGGCCTCTGCACCCCGCAGCCGTGCTCCGCTCCAGCACACACGCTCTCCTGGCGGCTG